ACACAANCTACTTCTCGACATTTGNAGTAAAGGGAACTTNATGCGACAATCNGTGAGTGAAGCGAAGATTTTGATAGACAACCTAGCAGCAAGTGATAGCATGATTCAACCAAGCTACGATGAAACCGTCAAGGCAATCAACATAGATCCGACATAACTTAAGGAGATCAAGGTGATGGTTTCCCAAATTCTAAAGAATACTCTGAGACCTAAAGCACATGAAGGAGTGACAACCCCTCATGAAGACGTTGATCAAGATTTCGTTGGAGATTTTTCAGCATGTGATCTAAGGGAAGTAAGCTACATAGGCTCTCGATACAAAAATCTTGGGACAAGGAGTCACAGCCCCCATTACGGTCCTAAGGAACGTTTTTATACTCATCAAAACGTGCCTCACGAGACCAATATCCAACCGAAGCAACAGTTTGCTAAAGGAGTTCAACAAATGCATTCGAGTGGTTTCCAAGGCGTTGAGTCAAGAGAGATTTCGGAAAAAGATTTTGAGCCCTTGATAAATGGGTTTCACTATGAACTCAACAAGTTCAGAAAGGAAATTCATACTAGGATGGATATATTGGGACATGACATTAACAACAAGATAGAAGAAATTTCATCTCATGTTAAGCAAATTTACCTCCAAATTGCTTATATCGCCGGTACCATTCGAAAACCGGATGGGTTTTTTCCCAAAAAAGTTGAGGTGAACCCAAGAAGTGAACACGTGAAGGCCATGACATTGAGAAGTGGAAGACAACTAGATGAGGTGTTAATGCCAAAAGAAACCGGCAATGATGTTGTCATAGAAGTGTTAGAAGAAGATAAAGCTCCTAGTACAGAAGTTGACCATGAGACTCAAGAAGAAGTCGAGATTCCACCAGAAGTTGACCATTCCCAAGTGCTTTGAAAAAGCAGAAGAAGGAGAAGGAGCAAGCTAAGCTAAAAGAACTTGTAAGCCAACTTACCGTACGATTACCCTTTGTTGATGCTTGTGTGATCATCCCGGCTTTGAGAAAGTATATGAAGACCATTCTAACCAGCAATGTAAGCTTAGAGGAAGGTGTGATGTTGATCACTCAAGAGTGTAGTACGAGATTTCAAGACAAAGAATTTCAAAAGTTAGAAGATCCGGGTAGTTTTGTGCTTCCTTGTGAGATC